GCAGAAGAGCACCAGTAAAGGTGAGCAAAACGACAAGCCACAGCTGTGGATCCCAGAACTCACTCCACATTGTCACTATTTGTGGCGCCCTCATCTGGAGAGAACAGACAAATCAACTCCACTACATGCATCTGTACTACAAGAGATGGTGAGTGTCAGTTATTGCTAAACATTCATATATATTCATCAGACTAGACTGATAGCAAATGCTCACTATGGTGGTCCACAGCACAACGGTGATGAAAACGACCACATCAGTGCTGTATTTGCCATCAGACACCTGAATTGTGACCTCCAACATGGTGTCATCACGCGTCAGGTATGAGAAGAGGTCTTTAGATTTAGACTCAGACCATTCATTTGCAAACAGTCCACAATAGCACCTTTGAGAACATAAACATGGGGCTGGTTTTGAATGTGTTATAGTTTATGTATAACGGTGAATAGTTGATGTTCAGCTGTTGGAGTCATATTAGTGATGATGACATTACCATTGGTGAAGGTGTCCAGTTAGGTGGTCTCTATCGGGGTCTGTGCAGCTGAGGGTGATAATGGGAAGTGGAGAAAATGATTTATTTCTATGAGAGTAGGTCACACACTGGACCGTTATTGTGCACATTCTGCAGCAAAAGAGGGGAATATGTTAACTTCAGGGCCAATCTTGAGATATTTCCCGAAAGAGTGATTTAAAGCATTGACTCTCAACTACCTCTGCGCACCCTGTTCGCACAGACATGATACGAGCTTGCTATTGCTAGCCTCCCTGTAATCACCTACCCTACCTTTAATACACTGCTTAACAAATGTTTTAAGGACATTTTTGTTTACTCTTGTACAATAACAAGTTGTAATACATTTGTCTTTGTTCTGTTGGGTCACCACTTCATATCCAGTGTAAATCTTGGCTCCATATGAGTTTAGAAACAATGGCTTAAAGTTTAAAGCTTCACGCATTACTAAATTAGTTTTATTTAAATGCTTATCTTAATTTAGTACATGCCTGACCTGAACTTGCACAGTGACGTCAGTAGCTCCGGTCCATTAGTTCTGTCTACATCCTGGTCAGAATCCACAGCTGGAATTTTCACCATGTAATTCTGCTTTTCCTCCAAATCCAGTTCTGTACCCAAATACAGCTGTCCTACAGATAGCAGGACTGATGCCGCCGGAAAATTTTATTATTGTGGTGGGCAATTGAAATAATTGTTTAAAATTATGTTTTGAGTATAATGGACCATTTATGAAGCATTTAAGTTGGAATGATCCATATGATCTCACCTGCGACTGGTTCAATGGTGAAACGTGAGTCTCCTCCTGAGATGGCCAGCCGGGACTTAAAGGGCCAGTCTCGGTCGATTGCATTCACCATGATGGTCCCACGTCAGGCATCTTCTGGGACGGGCAGCACCAATGGACCCTCAATCTGAGGGTCAAACTCATTTACTGGAGTGATGCTGACCAGCATCTGGATTTCAGCTGGAGAGAAAATGGATTGGAATAATTTTTTGACAGCAGTTTATACAGATTGTAAATGCATTTTAGTTCATATAAGGTCATACAGTATGAACGTATAACTTGAATGTGAATTTAAATAGTCAATTTTAACAAAAATTGACTGTTTGTCAGTGAATTAGTTCTCATAGCTGGTGGCACTGGATTGAAATGTTCCTAAAATTTGATGTCAGATTTATATATCTTAGATAGAGATTTAGTTCATGTGAATTGAAAATGTAAGAAAAAAAAAAATATATATATATATATATATATAAATATTAATGAATTTGTATAATACATACATTTTTTTGATCTTTTTGTATATTTTATTTATATATTATTTGTTTGTTACCAGATTTTATGTCATTGGATGCAGATTTACTTAACATTTTCTGCTATATATATTACTTATTGACTACCAAGAGAAAAAAAGAGAACAGTATGGCCATTTAATGATTATGAATAAAATAAATTAAAATAAAATAGAATTTCTTCTGTTGAACACAAAATAGGATATTATGAAGAATGTTGTAAACCAAACAGTTGCTGGTATCCATTGACTTCCATAGTATTTGTCCCCTACTATGCAGTAAATGACTACTAGCAACAGACTGGTTACCAACATTCTTTAAAATATCTTCTTTTGTGTTCATCAGAAGAAAGAAACGTACACGGGTCAATTTAAGATTAAATTGTGGCTAAAACACGAGTCCTCTATTCATAATATTGCTTTCTCCAGTGAAAAGTCATCTTGTCTGAATCAGGAAAGAAACATACACAGATCAAACACTGTTTACAAGCAAAAACAGTTCTAAACAAATATGTTGGTGGATTTTGATGTGACAGGACAACAGGGGATGGATTTTACACTGGAGGACGTGTTATTATGGATTATGGATTAGACAGAAGCAATAGTTTGATGTTAAAATGCCATAGTGATGGATTTGTTCAGTTCAGATGAACTCTGATGCTCAAGAGAGGAAAGAGAGATACTTTCAGTGATGGTGTCATTTTCATCTGGACCCTTGTTATGGTGAGAGTTGTAGTGGTAGTAGTTGTCACTGGGAGTACATACAATTTATGGAAAGAAAATTTGACAATTTGGAAGCATGTGGATTTTGCTGCAGTGTTAAAAAGGTTGTTGTTGCTCTTTTAGAATTCTTTAACTAACAGTGATTTAATTAAACCTTTAGCCTGTTAAAGTACACAATGTAATATAAAATAAATAATATATTCTAGAACTATCATGAATACATTTTGGATTGATATCAAAATTTCACAATAAGGGAAAATAAGTCAATATAGAAAAAACAACAAAAAACAAAGAATTAAAAATAAAAAAAAAACGTTTTATTTCCAGTGGTTGTTAGGACATTCAAAAAATGAATGTTTATATTAGAAAATCACATTTCATTACATTTTTAAATATTGCACTATACATAAAAATTTAATATTAAACACAAATACTACCAAATATGGCTTAGATTTAATTGATATATATATATATATATTGATAAAACTCAGTTGTATAAAGTGAATTCTTTGACGGAGATAAGAAGATGATACAACAAACATTGGTAATCCTGTTTAGAAAGTGCAGGTCAAGATGAAATGAATTTCTCTCTTGGTGAACTTGGAGATTTGAGCATGTTTTTTTACACTCCTTTAATTGCTTGGAAGTGTGAATTAGATGTGAAGTAGTTTAAGAGTTTAAGATCTGGTTAAGCCAAACTTTGTCCTTACTCTTTACAGAGGTAAAGAACAAACTGATTGTAGACCTGTATGTTATTGTCATCATGAACATTAAGAGATACATGTAAGCAGTATGTTGTTGGGTTGTTTCTATTTGGTGAAGGCTTAAAGACATGGCTGGGTTACTGACAGGAGATGTTTACCCCAGTAACCTTGTGCATTAAAGTTTAACGCTTCAGGAAAATCACTCGAACAGCCTGGATGAAGGGGCCATCCTTAAACACAATAGGTGGAGTTGCTTGTTTAGTTAACAGCTCACACTTTTTCCTATATATGTAAATTGGATGGCCACTTTTCAGGTTTGCATCACAAAAGTATCAACGTTATTGAGCAATCATGTTTTTGTGTGAGCCTGATAGTCCACACACCTCTAATCTAGCCTAATGTGTCACAGATTAGGATGGGAGAAAAATAGAGAATGGAGACATGAATGAGAATGGGAAGATTTTACTCTAATTACGATAACTCCTCGACAGTGCCATCAAACCCATGTGGAGGCTTTGTTGGTGTTTCATTGCATTAGTTCAGAAAATAGTCTTTTCTCAGAACTAAGTTCATTTTCTGAACCATTTGTGATATATAAATGATGGCATTTGAATGAATCATTTTAAAATCGGTTTTATCATACCGAAAAGTTCAAAAGAATCGATTCGCAAACGTTGCAGCGTTTTCTCAGACCGCCAGAGGACGCTGCTCAACACGCCGTGAATCTCGCAACATTCCAAGCGTCTCTGGAACAGCATCTTTAACTTAAGTCGAAAAATAAGGTGGATTCTCAAATTAGCAGTTTAGGGTGAAGCTTTTTCTTCTAATGATGCAAACATCGCTGCTTAAATGTATAGATTTATTTTAAGCATAGGACTTTTAGTGTCAAATAAACAGTAAAGGCATCAATTAACTTGTGGCTGTTGTATTGTGCACCTTTCAACATTTCACACGATTTAAAGACACTTCCAACAGGCAGGAATAGCAATTAAAAGTACGCAAATAATACAAATACATAAATAATTAGTCGTAAATAATTAAGAACTATTTATAATACTTTATATTTCCCCGTTTGTTACTGTGAAGCTGCTTTGAAACAATATTTAAAGCACTACAGAAATAAAGGTGACTTAAAGTGTTTAAATGAAAAAATAGATAGAGAGATAGAGATAGATAGAGATGGATAGATATCTTGTGTCTTTATTTGCAAGCAGTTCAAACGAGATTATCGTCTTGAATTGGATATTGTCTGTGGTACTTTGGCATTTTGAATACGCTCATAATTTGAGAGGGAGGAAATGAGCGCTCAGATTTCAGTCGAGCTCTGATTGGCTCCCGCTGAGATGATTTGATTGGATGGCGCTGCGATGCTGCGCTGTGATTGGCTGAGACGCGCATGCTGGAATGTTACAGACGCACATATGGGCTTGTCTGCAGTGAAGGGGCTCATGATCTGGAGTTTGAGTCACAGAGCCACATCTGCACAGCCTGGATTGCACTGAAGGTTTTTTTCCCCCCTGATAACAAATGTAAGTGCAAGACTTGATTCTACATTTGAACAGCTTCATGCATGATTTTTATCTGACATAAGTTACTTATGTCTTGTTTTCCCAGTTTTTCAAAAGCAGAAAAAAGCAAATAATTTTGTTTTTTTTTTGCTTTATTTTCCTTTTGCAAAGCATGATGTTTCATAAAACATTTATTTCTATTTCAGGAGCATCTAAATTTCTGGATTTGACTGTCATCATTTCAGAATCATGGTAAGCATGCCTCTAAATTATCACCTCTCCACACTCATTAGGGCTTTGTCTTGTTAATTAGCTACCATAGATCGTTTACTCAGTCAAACTGCACTGATTGGACATCACTTTACATTATATGCAGCAAAGGATTAGTTACTGTGAAGAAATGTCCGTTGCTGAAATTTCAGCATATGGCATAACATCTGCAGCCCAGTGCCAATCTGTGGATAGAAATAATGCCAGTCACTCGACCCTGTGTGTATGCTACTATTACTGCAAGCATGTGGTTATTATGTTTATTCAGATACAGAATTCAGCAAATATGTTGAAAAAACACGTGCCAGTTCTGCATCTGTCAAAAAGCCAGAAAAGCTTCCTAAAAAGGGAAGATTTTTGGTGTTGGCACTTATAGTTTGGAATAATCATGCATTAGACAAATGAAACTGGATTAGGTACTTTGTATTACTGTGCTGGTTTTGTTTATGATCAGTTATTAGAAATTAAAATGCATTTGGGTTTTTGGTTCATTTCTTAATTACATACTACTAAAACACCAAGCATGGCAGTACCATTGTTTTCGAGGTAGGAACTGGGACTAACTTGTTGCTGATAGTTACACTTTGAGACTGTTAATTATAGACTTATGAGATCATATTTTCCTGGTTTTCTTTGATGTAACCCACTATTTGACATTGATTTTTGTAGATTTTAATGTCTATGAACCAGCTTCACTCGTAAATGCAAAAAGTAGTTTGTATTGAAATTGCAATTGACTGACTTAATCTATTTCAAATGAGTAAGCTATGCTCTTCCGTTTTTGGATTATGATTTATGTGTATATTTGTGTACGTGCATCTGACAGCATGGATCGAAGGAGTGGTAATTACTCTATTGAAAAGTAGTGTTCCAGGTGTGGCTAGTAACAGGTTTATTCCAACTGATTTTGATGTGAGGGCAGTAGTCATCCAACCTTTTGATAGCTGGGCGTGAGTGCGTCCACATGATGTGCATTCATCGGTTGTTCGGTTGCCCTCTACCTAGAATAGAGTGGTTTTTCAGCTCCTCCAGACAAATAGAGCCATGCCCTCTCTAACAGAGCTCATGCAGGTCCAAGCCTGTCTAAGGAGCACGATTAGCCAATCTAAGGAAAACAAAATCAAAGGAAGTGTGACCCAAATTTTATATAGACTTTTTTATTTATTTATTTATTTTATAAAAATTTTTTGGTAATTGTTGCTTAAGCTCAAATTATATATATATACAATTTAAAATAATCACATTTATTTATTTACACAAATATATATATATATATATATATACTAATACTTATACAATTAAATGCAGATATGTATTTTTCAAATGTAGTACAAATGAATTTACCTTTCAATATGAAATTTTATTTAAAAAAATTATGTGCACTAGTTTTATGATATTTGTATGTATATGTATAAAATATGTATATGTCTAAAAGAATCATTTTTTAAATGTCGTACAAATTTATTTGTAATATTTTATTAAAAATTCTATTATTTATTTTTTAAATATATGTATTATGATGATAAAATTAAATGCATATTTTAAAATGCATTTTCAAATGTAGTACGAATGTATTCATACATTTTTTTTAATCAGAAATTTTGCACCCAGTAGTCTTACCATGTCTTTCTGTCTTTTTGCAGTTGTGTCTGCAGGAATCAAGTGACTGTCTGCGGGAACAGATGCGTTATATGATGCGATCCCTGCAAGATCTAAAGCATTTGCGGCGGAGCTGCGCAGCACCCCCTGTCGGACCTCCAGTGAGATTGCGTGCTTGTAAGCAGCTGATAGCCCAACGGGAACGGCGAGCACGGTTGAGGATCAGCGACGCCAGTGAGGCGAGCAGTTACGACTCTGCCTGTTGTCTGACTAGTTCTTTGGAAGAGGAGGACTCTGCAGGCGGCCCATCGGCTGTTAGCTCACCGAGCAGCGAGCGGAGTCTGGAGTTTGATTCGGGTTACTCTGAGGCCTCCTGGCAGGATGAAGGAGTGGTGTTACGGCGCACCAAAAACATCCGAGTATCTTCGTCTGCGTGTCTTCGCACCAACCAGCCTCCCAACACCCGAGTGCGTCCTAAGTCCACCTCTGACGCTTGCCTGGAAAGTTGGACATCGTTTGAGACCGCAAGTGACCCTGACGACTGGACTACTTCGCTACTGACGCGTGGACGTAACCGGCAGCCGCTAGTGCTGGGAGACAACAGTTTTGCTGATCTCATTCAGAACTGGATGGACTTACCAGAATGCCCGGAACAGACGGAACAAAAGCACAGTTCTGGACGCAGTTTCGCTAAAGACTTCTTGGTAAATGTCAAACGGAGGATAGCTGGGATTTCACGGAGCACTGATGGGAGAAGAAAGTCGTCAGATGTTACAAAACTGAGCAAATCAATTGTGGCTCCCAAACGATTTTCTTGCCAGGTTGATGTACAGCACAAAATGCCATTCTTCTATAAATCCCACACGGGTCTGAACAAACTGGACACAGATTTCTACCAGTTTACGGCATTAATGAAATCTGGAAGCAGAATGCCCATTGTCTGTAATGATATTATTGGGTACATATGACTACAGTTGTGTCATTATTAACTCTCAGACGAGTGGACAATAACTCCAGGAGAGACTAATTATTTTTTTTAAGAAAAGCTTTGTACGTAATCTTGTGTAAAGTGCACAAAAATAAAAATATAAAAAATTCATATTGGTCATTTGCATTGCTCTTGGTGGCGGCCTAACTGATCTCAATGAATGAAATGAAACCCAAAATGAACTTCATGCAACTAAACAGATTTTTTTTTTTCAAACACATTAAGAGATAATGTTCGCTCAGGCTGACATTATCACATAATAAACCCAGACAGGGTGAAGAGGGCCCAGACATGAAGAGAAGGGGTACTTTATCACCCTGAAAGGGTTTATTTTGTGATAACGACAGGATTAATGTACATTATCGAGCTGTATTTAAACTTAAACATTCTGCTGCTCAAAAGTTTGGGGTCAGTAAGATTTTTAAGGACACAATAAATTGATCAAAAGTGACAGACATTTATAAAGTTACAAAAGATTTATATTTTAAATAAATGATGTTCTTTCAAACATTCTATTAATCAAAGAATTAAAAAAAAAATGTATCACAGTTTCCATAAAAATATTAAGCAGCACAGCTGTTTTCAAAATTGATAATTATAAGAAATGTTTCTTGAACACCAAATCATCACATTAGAATGATTTCTGAAGGATCATGTGACACTGAAGACTGGAGTAATGATGCTGAAAATTCAGCTTCACATCACAGGAATAAATTACATTTTAAAATAGAAGAGAGTTATTTAAAACTACAATAAATGATAATTCACAGTATTACTGTTTTCACTATATTTTTTTACTGTACAAATAAATGCAGCCTTGATGAGCAAAAGAGACTTCTTTGAAAAATCTTACAGACCCCACACGTTTGAACAGTATATAAATATTTATATATTATTGCAAGCAAAAAAATTATATTTTATTATATTACAAGCACATGTTTTTAAACGTGCTGTGTCTGTACTTGTTCAGTTATATCCTTGAACCAGTTTTTGTTATTATAAACAGCTGAAAGTATATTTAGCAGCTTACAGCAGTGGACAGGAACGCGGTGTTCCTTGGACTTCAAGTTCTTGCTTTTTTGGCGTCTCTGGAGGGGAAAAAGAAGTTGAGCAGAAAGCTCTTTAGTGATGGCAGAGAGGCTGTATCAACACAAATATCTCAGGTGGCCCTGGCAGCATGTGTTAAATGAGGTAACCCTGCTTGTGTCCCTTTACAACCGCATGGGGAAAAAATTGCAGCAGCTGGATAGAGGATGAAGACGTTGACTTTAGCTTCATTAAGCTTTAGAGTGCCTCGGTTATCAGACTAATGCATCCTGCGACACCGCAGCTTGTGCAAACTCTTATGAATATGTCTGCTTAAAGACGTATTAATCATTTTTTGGTTGGTTTTGAAAGATTAGCAGTCACAGATGGTGACCACAGAGTCATAAAAGTCAGACAATTAAACTCCTACAAAGCTGTTCTCACCGTATGACGTCAGAGTTAATGAATCAAGATTTGCGAGATAATAACAGGAATTAATGACAAATGCATAATGGCCTGCTGTACTGACCTCAGACCAGCGGAACAGACATACTGTAAGAGGAGAAAGAAATACTCAGTATGTTGTTTATCTAGGCCTTTGTGTGGAAAAAGTGAATTATTGCACCAGTAAAATCAGGCCTTATCCCTAAACAGTCTTAAGTTACCAAGCTTATAAAAAACACTTTATATTTAAGGCTTTTTCTTTTTCCATTGAGGTTACATGGAACAGATGGACCGAGTTGCTGGTGCACAAGTGGAAACAGGGGATTGCACTTAAAGCTTAGAGAGGAATACATAACAGCCAACGTGTGCCTTGTCAGTCGTTGTAAGAATATCCAGGAGCCTCGTGTCTCACTCCTTGAAGACAGTTTTGGCAATGTGACTTCAAAATACGTCCAAAATGATTCTAATAACTTAAAGAGAAAAACAAAAGACTCATAATAGAGCCAGGACAACTTGAGCATTTCATGTTTATGCATGGAAAAAGCATGATATTCATTGACACTAGAAGCACTATAGAGGAGATTAGCGTAAAAGGTATTTTTCTATAGTCGGTTATCTTTTTGCAACAGTTTGAAGTGCAAGTAAATCTTGCATAGCTATTTAAACGATTAGACACACTTATAGCTAATTATCTGATTTATAACACATCTGGTTATAACACATCGCCTCCTTGAGTGCTGAGGTTTGTTATTGCCAGTGTAATGCAACTATGTGTGTTTAGTATACAACTCTACTTGCAATGCATTCGCCAGGCATTTGTGTACTTGTCTACTGCTTGTTTCTAGCCTAAGTCTGACAGCGTCTTATGTTGTCAACACATTTATTTAGTTGTAAAGAGTGAAATGTTGGTATTGTAAGATTCCTCACATGCATGGAAGCTCCATCCACTGGTGGTGTTTGCTGCCTGTGTTTGAAAGCTGAAGTGCAAAAGCAAGCGTTGAATGTGTGTCAGGCTTTACAGCATGTAAGTGTGTGTGGAGTGTGTTAATTGAAGTAAACGTGTAAGTGTGTGGGGGCCAGATGTCAGTGCTTTCAGACTGTGTGCTGTGGGGGCAGCCATTCAACCAGTCAACCCAGACCAGACACACAGAGACAGAATCATCACCTCTGTCTGTGTTGGCAAACACTGTGAAGAAGCTTCCAGTTCCTTCTCAAATCCATCTTAAATTAACAACAACAACATGTCCGCCACTGTCACCGTGTCTATACCACAATCATTGACTTCCCTGTCACCATTCCCATAATCCTTTGCATTCCACAATCACACTCAGAAGCATATTCTGGTCATATTTAATTTTAAAATTAATATATTAATATTTTGATTAAAGAAAATGAAGCCAGTTTTAGAACCGTTAAGTTTTTAATTTTTTTGCATTTTTACATTATTTTCATGACAATTAAGCAAGTACGTTTCATTAGATTTTCATTACAGTAATACAGTAATTTATGTAAGGCAGTAATATAAATGCATGTAAAAGTATGAAAATGTAATATAAAATTAAAATGCATATATATATATATA